CATATATATATATATATATATATATATATATATATATAAATTACATCCATAAGTTCATTGTACAATTAATATATAAGTAAAGTATAAAGTGCAAACAGTTCTAGAGTTACTTGTATTATTAAATTTATATTTCAACACATATAAAATAATAAAATAATAATTTTTTGTTAATATAGATAAATATAATATATATAATTATAAATTCATAAGTATCTTCTTCATAAGTATATATAATGTATATGTTTATAATAATATATAAAATAGTGTATACTTTTTAATTTATTACATATAAATTATATTATTATTACTTACATTTGTATGATGCCAATATTCGATAAGACCCAAAAGATCAGAACTTGGCGCGTAAAGCAAAAAATCTCGCCATTCATTAAAACTTATAGTGAGACTTCCATCTTTGTCCATCCTATAAGTCAATATTACAAATTGTATTTCATTTTTTTTATAATAAATTATATTAAATAAAAAATTCACATATATCATGTATGTTAGATATAAAAATAAAATATTTTATTAAACTTACCGTTGCAATAATTTTTTTGCTTCATTGAAATCCATTTTTATTCCCAATTCTTCAAATGCTTTTATTAATTCCTCTAAATCAATTTTACCTATGAATTGACGATATGATAATAAAAAATATATTATGTTATAGTTTAATTATACTAAATAAGATTTAATCAAGATTTATCAATAGAAAAAAGTAACGAAGAAGAAGAAAAAGAAGAAAAAGAACAACAACACAACAATAATTATTATTATTTTATGGATTTTTAAATAATGATTTATTTGACTATTATTAAGATTGCATTCAAAATAATTATTTGTATATAGAATATAAATTGTCATTTATAAAGTTATTTTTTCATATATAAAGTTATTTTTTATCCTTTAAAAAATTTTTTCGTAAAATTTCATTTGAAAAAATTAATCAAATTCTATTTTCTTCATATTTTTGTTTATTATATATTTTTATATATTTTTTTATATATTTTTGTATATTTTTTATATATTTTTTTTTATATATTATATATTTTTGTTTATTATATATTAATATATAATTTAGCATAAAGATTTTTAGAAATTTTGGTTATAGGTATAATTTTAAGTAAAAAATCTATTGATTATATATAGTTGTACGATTTTCATTAATATTATAATACTTTTTATTCCAAAAATTGTAATTTTTAAAAATCATATTATGATTTCTAATAAAATTTTATTATTAAATCAGAAGATTATATTAATAATGAAATATCATATAAAAAACTTAAAATGATTTTTATAGTTTAGATAATATATAAGCAAAAGTTAATATTTAATAATAACATTAGACATATTTTATTAAAATTATGCTTAGAGTTAATAGATAAAAAATTATTTCATATAGAAATTTCTTAAGAAATAATAACAAGTATAGACATCTTTCCCATTATATATGCTACATAATAATTATTTTTCGCACATCTACTGACCATCTTTATTTGTGTCAAGATGTGAAAATTGTAAACGCAGATTTTTTTCGTGTTCGCGGACATAATGTATAAATTCTGCAAGTGTGATATCACCACTCTTAGTACTATCCGATCTGGCTAAAAATCTCTGAAAAAAAAAAAAAACTTTTGAATTATATAAGACTTATAAGCCAATATGATTACAAATTAATTTATTCATTTTTTACGAAATGAAAAATTTATATAATATTTTTATGTCATTTATATATTTTTTATTGATAAATAAATAAAAATTTTTATGAATTTGTATATTAGAATATTCTATTGTACTTAGAAAATATTATAAAATTGGATAATAATCTTAATGAAACTATATAAATTATATTAAGTATGACTATACATAAGTACATATGTACTCCGGTTTCGAGAATATTCATGACAATCTTTTTAAATTAAATAAAATTCTTCAAATATATAAAATTAATAATTGATAAAGCATTTTTAATAAATTCAAAATTATTATTATTAATAATAATACGAATAATTGAAATAAAAATTTTACGAAATGTTTACGAATTCAAAACTTTGCTTATATATCACAATTAAAATAAGTCATTCAATTTATCTTATAATAAATATTAATTTATAACAATATTTATTGCTTGTACTTTTTATCTATTATAATTTAAAATATAATATTTAAATAATATCATTTTTTATAAATTAACAAAATAATTTTTTTACTGAAATTATTGAAATCATTAAAAATTAAAATATGATATATAAAACATATATCATGTTATTTATTATTAAAAATTAATATTTTTAATTTTAATGTAATGTATGCAATAAATAATATGATATATAAAATGATATATATGATATATAAAATATATATCATATTATTTATTATTAAAAACTAATATTTTTAATTTTAATATAATATATGCAATAAATATTTATCGCTTAATATAAAGATGTCTTTATTATTACATATATATGAAATATAAAATAAATAATTTTATAAATTTTCAATTACATTTAATAATAATACAAAAAAATAAATCATATTACATTTAAATATTAATTTAAAGAATAGAAAGAATAGAATATCATATAAGTAATGACTTTCATTCGATATTTGAAAGTTGCATATCTATAATTCGATTGTATGCTATTAGCATTTTTTAAGTAAGATTATAAAATTATATATACCTCCGCATAATATTTATCGACACCCACATCACGAAGTGCCTTGGACAAATCTTTTACATCAATTCTTCCATTTCCATCTAAATCTAATTTTTGAAATATTTGTTCAAATCTTTTCTCGTCTTCTGCCGGCAACTCATGTAGATAGTGCGGTGGCATTACGTTATGCACTGCGCTTCTTCGACCATTAGGCATTTTTCTTTATCAATATTATGAAATATTGAAACTCTTTTTAATATACGCGTGTATATTATTATTCGAAATATTTTTTTTATTTTTTGACAATATATACTTTCTAAACTTTCTGCAAGCTCTTAATATCATTACTAAACGGAGCGTTTCGATCGTTACACACGCCTACGATGAAATTCATAACTATACACACGTGGTATTATACGATGAACATTGATTTTTTAACCATTCGCGCACTTTCTACTAATAAATTAATGATTCTCTGTCTTTTATATTGTGCTGTCAAACTAAACAACAAGAAATTTTGAAAAAATTTTACACTGTCAAAATAAATAGCGCAAAGTGTAAAGAAATAATATATAAGCACATGTAAAAAAAGAACTTAAATCTTTATACTCAAGATTATTGAATAAATATGTTTCAATTAACTGTATATTCACCATATAAAGTAAAATCATACCATCTTCTCCCACATTTTTATCTGAACAATAGTCTACGCACAACTAAGTTCGATGCCGCTGGAATGTCCTGTTCCGCATTCGACAATAATTGAAGACGCCATCTGATGATATGTTTGAGAAATATTTTTTTGCACTTTGAACAACAAAGTGATTTTTTAAATGCATTTTTGTTTATTATGTGCGAATTTTAATTCCAAATTCATTTTTTATTAAATTTATAATATCATATAATGGATAGGAATTATGTACTTGTAGCAAAAAATGTACATTTGAATAGATAAATATATTATACTCTCACTTATAGTACATTTTTTAGAAAATACAATAAACTTTATGAATGTTTATAGATGATACAAAATGTTCAAAAAATTTTATTTCAAACATTATTTTCAAACAACGTTTCTATTGTATATTATCAAAATATTCGTACTTCAAATTTTTTGTGCTTATTTGCAACAACAAAAAAATAATAGAATTATAATATATAAATTTAAATATTTTTTCAAACATTTTTCAATATATATTAAATATTTATAGTAATTAATCTATATAATTTATATGAATGCGATAATACGAATATTTTTATTTATTTCTCAATATTTTAGAGCAATGAAATCAGGGTAGTATTATTAAAATTATCACATGTGTATATTATAATGCGACTTTTTCCATAGTTATTTATTTTAGAAAAATACATTAAAAATGCCAGACTAACAATTATGTCAAACACAATAGACAATACGAATATATAATATTATTTAATATCTTTTATTAAATTTAATAAAACAAACATATATATATTTTTAATTTTTCTTACCAAAAGATTTTAATTAAATAATTTTTAATGAAAAAAAATTCTGAATTCTAATGAAAAAAATAATCCTGAAATATATATATATGCATTGCCTATTATGTTTACAACTAATGTAACGAAAATCTTACAATCAGGAATTAATTTAACGTAAGTGTCACAAAAGTACTATTAGTACTGCTAAGTGCCAAGTGCTCGCTGACTATATGCATTATATACCGATATGTATATAATTATTATTGTTTCATTATGTTCAAACAAAGAACGTTAATATAGATTGTATGTGGCTTCATACCATTAACATAGGTACGTGTGTATTATTATACACATAGTGACATGTTTAACATGCAATTAATCTGAAGCTTGCACAAACAATATTGTTGCGCTTATTACTTCCCAGTGTACACAGCCCTCTTCACTTTTTATTCTCTATATTTATTAACGAGTCATACTACAAATAAAAACAAATTAAAAAAGGAAAGAAAAAAAGAGATAGCTAAAAGATAGTATTTGAAAAGTAGATTACTAAATAATTAATTATAATTCCTTTAAACAAAATATTTAAGATTTTTGAATAAATTTTCTAAATGTTTGTATAAAGGAATTATTTAAAATATCAAAAAATAATTTAAAACAGAATTTTATGCAATGAATTTTAAATTCTTTAACTTACATATCTATAAACAAATTGCAAAAACAATGTGTGGACATTTACAGAAAGGAACATTTTTACATTTCTTTTTTATATTTATTTTTTTCTCATATTATATTAAAAGATGATTTTGATCAGAATTATAAAATATTATAATTTAATTTATATTGATATAATATTAAATATTAAATATATTTATATTTAATATTTGATATAAAAAAATTTTTAAGTTTTCATTTAAAATTTAAAAACTTTTGATAAGTATAAAATTTTATATCATTTGTTATATTTGAAATAAGAAACTAAAAAATGATCCCTTTCTGCAATATTGTCACATGTTTTCTTTCAATTAATTATGATGTCAAAATATAATCTTATGACAAATATATAGCAAATTAAGAATTATTTTCACAAATATAATAAAAAATTTGTACTACATAAACTTCTTTTTAAGATTTCATACTTTTACCTGTGAAATCAGTAACAAAATAAATAATAAAGTTTCTAACATATTTTTCAAATATATATAAATATAGCTTCAAATTTAAACATAATCAATACCAATGATACTTCCAACGTAGAACAAATAGTTTAATATTTTGCATGTTAAATATCTTCAAATCTGTAATGGAAATATATTTTATAGAAACATAAAAAACCACTTGATGTATAAGTGAAAATTCTCGAATATTCCATATAATTAAAAATAGCACAGTTGTAGTTTGAATCGAAAATATGTAATTTTATACATATATTTATATTTAAATATATTGAAATAGAACAAGTTAATTTCTTTTATAATTTTCTAATATATATTATTTCATATTTCATAATATATTGTGACAAATGAAGAAATTTGCAACATTAAATTAATAAAACAAATAAAATTGCACCATTATTTGTAATTTTTATAAGAAACTAGTTATGTTCTGAGATTACATTTCTTTCTATAATTCTAAATAATGTGCCTCTATACATTACATAATTTTAAAAAAATATTGAAATCAATATGTGTAAAAATGTTTTTTATGATCTTTTATATGTGACTATTTATAATCAAAAGGCACATTTTAGATTGAAAGAAATAATATTCTACTTGAACATATCTAGTTCTGCATATCAAGATAAAATGACATTTTTAATGAAAGATCAATTTCTTTTGATCTTTACATTTCATAAAAAGTCTATGTTACTTCCACTAAAACTGGAATCATGAATATCTATACTACACATTATTTCATAAAAAAATTAAAGAAACCAAAAACTATTGTAATGTATAAATCACTATATCATAAAAAAGTTACAACTTGATCAATGCACTTAGTTTGATCAAATTTTGTATCATATATACAAAATATTATTATTATTAATTGAATTAATTTTTTAATAAGAAAAAAAGATATTATGTTATATCAAATAAAAGAAAAGATTTTAAGAATATGAATTTGTCATCCATAAAATAAAATATTTCATTTGATTTTTGTTGTAAAAAATATTAATTTCATTTTTCTTTTTCCATTTTTTTAATAATTAAATAAGAATAGTATGCTAATATTGCATACATTAAATTATACCTAGCATAAGAAATTAAATTGATAGTTAAGAGGAAGCCAATGTGACTGTTCAGTTTTTCATAAGTCCGTAAATCGAACATGTTTACAAACGTGAGAGCTGCAGCTCGCATAACAGTTTATTTATAGTATTAATTTCACTTCATAATAATTTTAAATTAGTGA